GCACACTGATGGCTCATGTTGAGCTTCTCATTTACCAGCACCCCCAAGTCCTTTTCCTCAGGGCTGCTCTCAAGCCAATCACTGCCCAGCCTATATCTGGCCTGGCTGGTTCCAAGGCTCTCCAGTGTTTTCTCATAAAAAGCTTCTGAGAAGGCCAATTGGCTTTTTAAAGACCTTTTGTGGTTTAATTATTAGCCAAAATGTCAGCCTAGTAAGATTTTCCCTTTTTTTTTTTTTCTTCCTGTAAAGGTGTCTCTCAAACCCTGCCTGTTGCCACTTTCGTAAGTGATTCAGTGGAAGCAGGAGTGGTGAAGTTTTCTGGTGGTGCTGGCATAGTGTGAATATTGCCCTTTTCCTCTCATGTTGGGCTTACCTGTGCTTTTTGTTTCGTATTAGTAAAAAGTAATGCATCTGGAAGCAAAAGCAATACTATAATCATTGATGGACTTCAAACTGTTCCTGCCCAAGCAGGACTTTTAACAACAAAGTGTTTAGGAGATAGGAAAAAAATCAGTAGGGTGGTACAAATGCACAGGAAGGAGACAGGGATCAACACAAAAAACCCCCTTTCAAAATACTGTATAATACACTCTGCACCCAGATCTTTAGTACTGTGTGGTTTGGGCTCCCTCTACTATAAAAAGATACAATGGAATTAGAAAAGAGAGAAAACCAAGAGCCTGGGGTGCTTAAGGAGAAGACTGTCATTTGGTCAGGGGAATAGAGAGCTTTTTGGGGAAGGGAGAGGGAATATTAAAGGTCTGTTAAAGTGATATGAAAGTAAATAGGGGATGACAGAAAGTTTACAGGGATTCAGAAAACTGACAGAAATGTTTGCACAAGGAAAATCTATTAAGGACTGTTAATAACATGAAGTGGGAGCCCACTCTGTATTTGCCAGATTCATAGACCTTGGTGTAGCAGAAGGAATATTGGACCAGACTGTTTATCTCATCTAGTGTGACCATTCCCATGTTTTTTGCTTTACAATACTAAAACTCCACATTGTATTAGTTTTTTTGTTACTGAGACCAGCTTAGATTTGGTCATTGTTCCCTGCTCACATTGGGCGTCTTGGAAGAGAGACATCATTGGTGGAAAGTAGGTGACAGTTTTTCATTGATATTTTCTTAAGCATTAAGAAACAAAAAGTTAAAAAGGTGAAGTTTTGATACTTTAAATTCCTTCTCTGTACAGTCATGAGTTGGTAAGCTACTCTGAGGGAGGCAAAGTTTAAATAGCCTGCTTGCTGTGAGCTCCGGGTGGTACAGACTTTTGGACAGAAGAAAGTAGCTGCAGGCGCAAAATTATTTTGTTTTTTCTTGAGTGTCTGATACTTTTTTGTTCCACTTTGGCTTAGCAAAAAAGTAGAATCTTGAAAGACTTCCTGTAAGATGTTTTAATCTTTTAGAAGCAAAATTACATTGCTGATTTTGTTTTTAAAATTGGAAGCTTAAGTCTTTCCTGTCTTGTTTCAGCTCTGGATGAAGGAGATATTGCCTTGCTGAAAACATATGTAAGTAGCATACATATACACGTTAAAAAAACCACAACAAGTCCTGTTGAGAACTGAACACAGGAGTGGAGGGACATGTACTTACAGAGTAGTTAGTAAATCTGCCTCTCCTAATACTTTTCTGTCAAAATCTTTTTTTCCCTTTCCATCTTCCAGTGAGAAACCCCAAACCATGACTTTAAAAATAATGCAGTAGGTTTGTTAGCTTGAAAGCAATGAAGTGTTATTTTTTCTAGTTTTGTAGCTTGTAGCTGATTGTTTTAGGGGTCTGACAGCAAGGGCTTTGCTTGTGCCCGCTGCAGCTGCTTCTCTTTGGCCAAGCTGATATGAAGGAGGCCTTGTAAAGCAAATCCGGATCCATTAGGCAGGGCAAGATAGTAAGCACGTTATCACAAGCAAGGACCTGGCTTCTGATTTGCCTCACGATCTTCCTGCTGTCTTCTGTGGGTGACAGAAAGGTTAGGTAAGGTAGTTAAAGCACTTGCACAGATGATTTTCAGATGGTGGATGCAGAATTCTGTCTGTACGTAGTTTTTACTAAGTCTTTTTTAAACTTAAGGGAAAAAAACGTTTAAAAAAATAAGTTAAAAAAATAAGTTTGCAAGAGTGAGAAATTTCCACTTGTGCCCTCCTATTTTTGCAAACAAAAATATTGTTCCTGGAACTTCATACTGTCTTTTTTGGCTGTGATCAATAGTTGGCTGTTCTAGCGAGACAGTCTATTGAACGTCTTGACGCTGAGCAGCTATTGGCATTGTCTCCTAAACGTAATCTGAGTTACGAAATCTACGTGATGTTTCTTTTCCAGGGCCAGAGCACTTACTCGAGGCAGATCAAGCAAGTAGAAGATGATATTCAACAACTACTTAAGAAAATCAATGAGCTCACTGGTATCTTTCTTTCTTAAGATAACTTTCAATGGAAGAGCCAAATACACTAAAACAAGTGTTTTATTTGGAAACGTGAGATATTTGCTTTGTAGGTGATGGTCTTGTTTGATTAGGCAGGGCTAATCTGTACATACCATTATGTAATTTTGTAGTTTAACACATTTTTATTCAAAAATGCGTTTTTTATGTATTACGTTGTCATGAAACAAATGCCCCTTTCTGCCACTAGGTAATTTGCTGTGATTTGTATCAAGCTGCATTTAACTAGTGAGTGAACTTCTGTTGACTGCAAAAAAATCCGCATATTATCATTTAAATAGTGGTACCAGTCCTTGTATAATGAAGAAATGTGTATTGGAGCAGCTGGCATTTAAAATTGGCTGATCAGTTTTGACAGTTAAAATAAAAATCAATTTGTTCCGTAATTTTTCTTCTTTTGTTTCACTGATGTGTTTTTGTTGCTCTGTTACTAATCCTCTAGTGGTCCTCAATACTACCAGGAAGACTGTGGTTTCTCTTTTTCAATAAAATCCTTGATTCTTTCAAAGACATCATGGAGAATGAGACTCCTTCTATCCATGTTTTGGAAGATTTACAGGCTTTCCCATCTGTGAATCCCTTAGCTTGTGCTATCTTGCACTAGAGTTTTCCCTCAGTGAAAGCACTTGCAGAGTTTCACTCCCTTTTTGAAACTCTTAGAAATATGCTCATATGGGATATCTCTATCGAGCTGGTTGTAATTGTGCCCACACTGCAAAATTCTGCGAGAGGATGGCTGGGCTTGTAGTTGCATGTTTAGCTGGCACAGCCATGTCAGCCTCATTTCTTTAGGAAACTTGTTTTCAGGAAGTCCGTCGAAGATGCGTGTGTATGTGGGTTGCAGATCTCTCAAAAGCTTCCTGTAGGCTTGTGTCTAAGGTTCTGGCTGTGGGAAGGGCTGCCAACCTACCAGTTATCTGCTTCCTCCTCAACTTGTGTGTGCTTGTGCGCAGGAATCAAGGAATCCGACACTGGCCTGGCCCCTCCTGCCCTTTGGGATCTGGCTGCAGATAAGCAAACTCTCCAAAGCGAGCAACCCTTACAGGTTGCAAGGTGGGCGCGCTCTTCTTCTGTGCAGTGGAGCTGCATGCTGTTACATGTGTGATTTGTAGCTTAAGTGTAGGCTTATAAAAAAAAAAATGCTCACATGAGGTGCATATTGAAAGTGCTTTTTACCAGTGTGACAAAAAGGAACCATGTTAGGCTTGATGATGCTGTGCTGCGTAGTTCATCCCTGCATTTATTCCTGTAATTCTTGCGTGATGCTATAGTAATAGAATCACAAGTGCAGTAGCTGTTTCGTTGTGTTAGGAAAATAAAACGCTCTCATCACAAATAGCAAGCTGGTGAGTTTGCCTGCCTGCTGCTGCTAAGTGTGTGTTCTGTCTTAGGTGCACAAAGATTATCAATGCAGACTCAGAGGATCCCAAGTACATTATCAATGTCAAGCAGTTTGCCAAATTCGTGGTGGATCTCAGCGACCAGGTGGCGCCAACTGACATAGAAGAAGGCATGAGAGTTGGGTAAGCAAACTCTTTGTGCTCTTCGGCGTTTTTCAGGAGCCTGAAGCTACCTCATCTAATCCATTGGTTTGACAGGTCAACAACTACCACTTTTGCAGTGGTTCGAATGATAAGAATGTCTGTTGGAAGGCAGTAACTCGCATGTTGTGCAGGAATCTTTTGATTTTGGTGTCATTCTGATGAGAAATGCATGTCATGGATTGAAACCTCTCAGTTTTGGTCTTGATAGTCCCAGCTTTCAGGGAGCCTGCGTAGCCTGCTGCCTCTTTGGCAGTCTGCATGGTTACTCACAGGGAGGCTACAGGAAATATTCACTGAGGAGGTGAAGCCTCTTGATTTCAGAATCAATATTTTGCTAGTTTGGTCTGTGGGATATTTTGTAGTTTAGTTTTCAAAATACTTTGGAATTCATATTTTTGGAAACCTTAAATTTCCCTGCAGAAGGAATTGCAGTTTCTAGCCTGTCTGATTATTAGCTTTAAGGGCTGGGATGTCTTGATGCCAGAGAAAAGAACAGTTCCAAGAATTCCTATTCTAGTTTGCAGGTTGTTTCTACATGACAGATTAATTAACCAGTGTTAAAATAATAGTCTTTATGCTTTCTCACCAGAGTGGACAGAAACAAGTATCAAATCCACATCCCTTTGCCTCCGAAGATTGATCCCACAGTCACCATGATGCAAGTGAGAACCGCCATTGCTTATTATGACATTGCTTTGTCTTGTAATTGTGATTACTTGGCTGGATTTTGTTCTGGGCCCTTGAAAGCCCGGAGAGATATGTGGCATCAGGCTGTTAACTGCTCACTCACCTTTTTGTTGTGCAGGTAGAAGAAAAACCAGATGTGACTTACAGTGATGTTGGTGGTTGTAAAGAGCAGATTGAAAAGCTGAGAGAGGTGGTTGAAACTCCTTTGCTTCATGTAAGTAATCTCCAGATCGAAACTTATTGTTTTGAAAGTATTCTGGTCATCTGTTGGCACTTGAGAAGGCAAGAAAAGATAATGTAGCTGGATGTGAATGCCTTAAGTGAAAGGAGATCTAGTTTTAACAAATGAGATCTGAGGTAGCCTGACTTGTTTAGAATCATAGAATTGTGTAGGTTGGAAAAGACCTGTAAGATCACCAAGTCCAACCATTAGCCTCACAGTGCCAGGCCCACGCTAAACCGTGCCCCCAAGTGCTATATCTTCACATCTTTTAAATACCTCTGGAGTGATGAAATACCTCCAACCGCTTCCCCAGGCAGCCTGTTCCAATGCTTAACCCTTTTGGTGAAGAAATTTTTCCTAATATCCAGTCTAAATATTGCTCCTCATTGATGATTTTCTTAATTTGCATATACTCTTTGATGCACGTGATCTTTAATTTACACATAACCTTCTGTTTCCCACCACCACAGCCTGAAAGATTTGTTAACCTTGGCATTGAGCCTCCCAAAGGAGTGCTGCTGTTTGGGCCACCTGGTACAGGCAAAACGCTTTGTGCCCGTGCTGTTGCGAACAGGACCGACGCCTGCTTCATCCGAGTCATCGGATCTGAACTGGTGCAGAAGTACGTGGGAGAGGTGAGGCTGAACACTCGATGGAGCGTGGAGTGATCTGCAGATTTCCACTTTTGGGGACCAGACGCCGTCACGAGTGTGATGGATGAACGTACTTGTGTGTTGGAGGTACAAGTGGGAGAGAGGAGCCGTTACACAAATCCCTGCAGGTCAGGCAGTCAGTTGTAAGACCTGAGGTGTGCTCTGATTGGTGAGATGGATTTTGCAGTGCGGCCTTTAACTGGCAGTTCAGAAGGACTCTAGGATTAGGATTCTGTTCCCAACTCTGTCACTTAGTTTTCACTTAGCCCTGAGGTAAATGACTTCATCTGTACTTCTGAATTTGAGAGTAGTAAGTTCTCTCTTCTTTATAAATTGCTTTAAGATTTATGGATGTTGTTCTGTCTATGTGTGCAAGTAAACGAGTTTTATCACTGGAAACTTTGAGGTGTTTGGAAGCAGGAAAAGTTTAATTCTTACAGTTTTCCTTTAATGTGCTTTGAATCTTTAACAAAATCCTAATTTTTGCTTTCAGGGAGCTCGAATGGTTCGTGAACTCTTTGAAATGGCCAGAACTAAAAAAGCTTGTCTTATATTCTTTGATGAAATTGATGCCATTGGAGGTATGTCTGACATATTTCTAGCTCTAATCTTATATGAGAACTAGTTTTTCTTTTCACGTTGTACTTCTTTAACTGGATTGCTGCATTTCAAGAAATGGACTTGTAAAAACCTATTTAGCAAAACTACCAGTATGCTCCATTTGTGGGAAGCTGTCGAGAAGTGGTTTATATAGCTGGAACGTACTTAACCCAGATGAGAAGACATTTTTGCACATTTGAAATACCTACATTATTTTAACTTCAGGGAAGAATATCTCTGTATTGTCTTTGCTACAAGTACTATTAACTTAATCTCCCTTCACCTTCTGGACTCCATAGTAAATCTTTCTTACCGCCTGAAAATGTTTGTTTTTTTTTTCTCTGAAAGGAAGTACTTGGGTCCGTTGAAAGCAGAACAATTTTACACAGACGTGAAGGGGAAGGATTTTGGCTGAGGGGAGGCAAAATAAGCAAACAAGCTCCCTGTATAAACTTCAGCAGCTTGGCCGTTCAGTTGGTGTGGCAGCAGGCCCTTTCACACTAAGGGTGAGGGCAGAGCGCCCGCCCTGACTGACGGAGAGCACCGCTCACTCTTCCTTTGAAATGTGTCATTTTCAAGTAAACCCCTCAGACCTTATTTAAGCCAGCCACAACTGTTTGTACGTCATTTAAATTCTTATTCCCTCAGTGTCTTCTGTGTAGCAGCTGTGACGCCTCCTCCACACGCCAAAGGTCCCTCTCTCGTTTTGTGAAACGCGTGTGTGTCTCCTCTTTCCAGGGGCTCGTTTTGATGATGGGGCTGGGGGTGACAATGAAGTGCAACGTACGATGCTGGAGCTGATCAACCAGTTGGATGGTTTTGACCCACGAGGCAACATCAAAGTGCTGATGGCTACAAACAGACCCGATACTCTGGATCCAGCCCTGATGAGGCCCGGCAGGTTGGATAGGAAGATAGAGTTCAGCTTGCCTGATCTTGAGGTGAGAATCCTTTCTTTCACAGCTCTGACACCAGAGCGTTTCTTCAGTTCAGGCATTATTGTCTGGAAGCAGCTTATGCGAATTAACAAGAGCAGCGCTCTTAACAATTTGGAAATTTGGGGAATTAGAGATGTGCCTGAAAGGTTTTCCATGCCACGCAGATTCCATCCCTGGCCGAGAAGCCGTGGTAAATAGCAGCATCCACTATATGTTCCTGACTCAACAGATAAAGAAACCTTTGACCCAGATCTGTGATTTAGTTCTTAAGTTGGCCTGTGTTTTGTTGGCTCTTTAAGAGAGATTTCTTGAGGTGCTTCTACCATTAAAGCTCTTCTATAAGTGGTTTCTTAATTTAGTGTCACGGACACTTGACCATGGTAGTCCAGACGTAGAAAACTATAGTTAAGCAGAAAATAAAAGGTAAATTTTCCATCTGCCCTTGCTCTAGGCATGGACAGGTGCATGCTACAGTCGTCACCTCTTTCATAGCATGAACACTTCTATCCTCCACTCTTTTCAGGGGCGAACCCACATATTCAAGATACATGCTCGTTCGATGAGTGTTGAAAGAGATATAAGATTTGAGCTGTTGGCTCGTCTGTGTCCTAACAGCACAGGTAAGCTGAATTTTTACTTCTTTTTTAACTATTTTTGAGTATGCTTCATCTCCACTGGTGGTGAGGGCTCAATTTGTTTATCCCTTTCTTTCAAAGGTGCCGAGATTCGCAGTGTCTGCACGGAGGCAGGCATGTTTGCTATCCGAGCACGTCGAAAAATCGCAACTGAGAAAGACTTCTTAGAAGCAGTGAACAAAGTCATCAAATCCTATGCGAAATTCAGTGCTACCCCCCGCTACATGACCTACAACTAATACCTTGGAACATATTTCCCATTCTTGTTAAACTTTCTGGGGGACAAACATCCGAGTGTAGTAATTCACGTGTTGTTCTTGGAAGCTAGAAATAAATGGAGTATTCCAAACAGTAGGTGTGAGTTCATCATTAATGTGTTCTACACTGGTGGAGTGTGGCTGCTGGAGAAACAAAAAATCTCAGTGAGATTCTAATAACAGTGCCTAAAACTGAGATATTTTTAGGTCAGATACCTGGACAGTATTAGAAATCCAAAGTTTAGATCTCTAGTCACCATTTACTCCCTAAAACTTAGCATCTATGCTGTAGAGGTGCTCAAAGTGATCTGTAAGTGGCTGCTGCGTTGCTGGGTGTGCTCAGAAATGCCTGGGTGGTGCTCGGCACCCGCATGACCGCGTGTCCCAAGGAAGCTCCCAGGAAGGGCCTCGTGACAAGAGCTGAGGAGAAGGCCCACACGGCTCAGCTCAGGCGCTTGGTCTGAGTTGTTGCCCAGATCAGCAAAGATGTGAAGGGATGTTTTTTGTTTCCCATTGTGAGTGCTCTGATACCATCATAACTTGTTTTTTTTTCTTCAGTGGTTTTCTTTATCTGCTTTGCTGAGAGTCTTTATTTCTTACAAAGTAGTGTGTTAAGGAAGAAATAAGTGTAATTTCTTGGTGCTAAGGGAAGGAAGATGCCTTTTTTGTGTTCCTACTCTATAAAGTTTGACATCAGTTGATTAGTGAGCCCTTTGATATATGATACTACTTGTCTAAGATGCTGCTACAGCCAGAGGATGACCCCGATGAGGTCCTCCTGCTGCTCCAGTGGCTGGGCAATAGTTGGCAGGAGGCAACTTTACGAAGCTGATCCTCATTCATTTAGTGTGTTACTCTAGAGCAGGGTGGTTTCCTCACTGAAAAGCAACAGCCTTTAATTTTCTTTTTTTTTCAAGTGTTGTGTTAAAGTTGGGGGTGGGGAGGAGGGGAAAGAGCTTGAAGAAACACGGGTAAGTAACAAATTGCTTTGGGGAACTGCTTGCTCTTGGAAGTGAGAGGTTGGTTTGGTCTCATTTTGATACAACTGACATCACACTGACATCAATTTGTCAATCTTGGATTGTGAAGCTACTTTGCTGTGGGTTGGGTTTTTTTTTTTGAAAGTGTGTACCATAGGGAAAGGGGGGGTGTTTTTTTTAGGATTTTGGCATGTCAGTATTTTGGTAAGTAAGCTCAGGACATCCTGTGGTTTTGCCCCTACCTACTTGAAAAACTGATCTCGATGGCTGTGTTACTTTGGCAAAAACATTTTGGGGAAGGATGCAAGTTTATTGGTGGGACACATTTTTTTTTCTTCATTTGCGAGAGAATATCTACTTACCAAGAGCAGCACTTGAAATTAAACATAATACATACAAAGAGTTTGGTTCTTACCAGGTATCCTCAATTACCATCAGCGCTCTTGTAAAAGAGGGAGGTGAGGAATATTCTGATTGTCAAGAGGTATCAGGCCAGGCTGAGGCTCCCCAGTGACAGGTGCTGTGGTGGGGCTTTGGCAGTGCAGGGGCAGAGGCTCTACCCTGTCAACGCTGGAGAGGGGAAACGGACGAGCCCTGCTAATGCGTTTAAAGGGTGTGGGCTGGTTTGGACTGACAGGCTTCGGGCAGGATTTCAGGATTTAGCCAGCATTCTGATCCTCGGTACAGGAAGAAGTCACTTTAGTTTTCAGCAGGCACCTTAGTCTGGTGGGGGCGGAGGGGAAGCAGGGCTTCACCTGGTGGCAGCAAAGCCCAGGGAGAGCCTGGTCAAAAGCTGCCGGGTTTTATTTTACTACCTGAGTTACTGGCATGTCACTGGCAGCACCGGTGACACTCAGGAGTGGCTGGCAGAGCACCATGGCCACACAGGCTGGGGACTTCCTTGTGTAAAGGTTTTCAGTCCAGCGTTTCAGCAGCTCCCTGTAAAATACACCTGGTGCTGCCAGCATGGAAACATCGCATCATGAGGCAGGGAGAAGACTTCATGTGGGTGGGGGAGCTGGAGCGTGAGGAACAGAAACTCCAGGAGCAGGGAGATACTGTGTGGAGGTAGAAACCCTTCCCAGCCCACCCCTTAGCAACTGACACTTGCCCCCAGGGACCTTGGCTTGTCCCACATCCAGAGTCTGACCAAGACAAAGAAGCTTTTGACAAGTCATCATCACCACTTTATTTGAAGAAGTTGACAAGATCTTGATGTGAACTGAAGAGACTACACAGTTAAAAACTGAAGCTGCAACAGGCTGAAAGTAGAAAAATATACTGTCTATAGATACAAAGGCTTGTTAAACTAGTTAATGTTATAAAATGTACCAAAAGTTGTTTAAACAAATGCGCACAGTGTCTTGACATGCATTCAGTTCATCCTTTGAACGCCAGCTAAGCAGCAATTTCTGATGCAGAAAGCTTCCTATTCCTATTGGCAGGGGAGCCTGAGGAAATGAAACCTCTTCCCTGACTGCCCACAGTTCTTGGGAAACTTGGTTTACCTGAAGCAAGCCCTAATCGCAACAGAGCTTGAAGCAAAATGAAAGTATCAAGTTCTGCGTTCCGAAGAGAGGAAGTAATTTGGATTCCTCTGCACAGGACCTGTGAGATTTGAGGGTGGTAAATGGAATGGCACTGCTGCTCCCCTTCTTCTATGCCATCGAAATAATCTATGGAGAAAGACATTTAGGTTTCTCCCTCTGCTCACATTCATAGAGACTGTTGTTGGGGAAATACAGGCATTGAAGATTATTCTTCATTTCCAGGTTTTTTGTCTCACACCCAAAGTTACCACCGTGGCCAGGTTGTGAAGACAACAGAAAAAACGACCCATGCACTACTGTTTCTTTTAAAACTCCCAAACATGTCACATTTCTCAGCTCTATCAAAATCAATTTCTCAAAGCACTTAAAAGCTGAGGCAGAAGCAGCACTGCTGGTAGGAAGGTATCTCAGGTGCCAGAAAAGTACTGTGTTTTGTGTTCTTTTTTGAGCCACTGAGATTTTAGACCTTGTCTATGTTTTAATTCCAGGTTAAGAGACTGCATCAGTTCTCAATTTAATTTTGTTAGGCTTCACTCTTGCCTTAAACCAGCTGCATCTTCAAACTTTTAAGCTAAACTAATTTTAGCTTAAAATCAACTGTATGCTTTTTTAGAAAGCATAACTAGGTTTTGGAAGTGAAAGGACCACACGGATAATGTAATAACTAAACACCGAGTTCTAATTTGGAGTTCACTTGAGTGAAAATGTTCAGGTAATGAAGAGTTATGTATAGCTGAGACAGGTTAGATATTTAAAAAAATGTAACTGTACCATCCACGTTTAAAAAGAGGAGCAGCTAAATGCCACCAGTGTGAATTCATTAATCCAGCTGGCGGATTATTATAATTTCTACAAATCCATTGTATGTAGATGTTGACACCAGGCTTTAAAAGCCATCTAAGAAAGTTCTTTAAAGACACTGGTACAGTGCATTGCAATTGCAGAACAGTTATTTCCTGCAAGATCCCACCTCATAGTGAGTTAAAGTGCCCATTTTCTCAACGGGAATAGGAATGTATGATCCTATGAACGTCACCTTGTCTGTGAGATTCTGACTGTAGCAGAGAATACACGCAATTTTCTTGTCTTGCATAATTTTGTGCTTGCATGTTGTTGGTAGGTTATGCCCTGATTAAAGGAAAAAATTCATGAGCATGAAGGCTTCCAATTCCTTATCCACTCTTCCTACGGAAAATAAGCACCCCCCTATACCCGTATACGAACAGCCTTAGGCTCTCCTCAAACTGTGCAAATTAAATATTCAGAAAGAGTCTCCCTTAGCATAAATCTGGCTTCCATATTGCTCGGTGCCACTCTTCAGAGGTCAAAATCGCTCTGTGAAGCAGACTTGTCTCACTTGGCAAGCGAGGACGGCATCATGAATACTGTGAAACAGCAACTCTCTTGTTACAGTGGTATCAAAAAAATTCAGTCTTGTCAGCTCATGCATAACAGGGCCTGCAAAATAAAAAGCAGACATGGCATCAGTGCATGACCTAAAGCACAAAGATGGAAGACAGCGGTATCTCAGGATGAAGACAACGTGTTCTCTTACTTGTTATTACTGAAAATTAAAACAGCCAGGTGGAGCATATGCTACTTCTGCTCCAAACTGGCAATTCTCTTATCCAGACAAACAGGCCTATTCTTGGCAGAACATGCTACAATTCCAAACATCACGAAAATGGAACATTGCAGACTTTTCTCCTTACTACATTATTGCAACAACTTCAAGACACAAAGTTCAGCATGGCATTTACAATCTGCCAGCTGGAATAAAAGGGAGCAGGATCTAGTCCTCACAGACCTCATTACATCAGCGCTCTATTTTCACTAAAGCTCTAATGCACACGGGCGTGCTTTGCCTCAAATCCAATTTTATGTGAAGTACGTGCTGATACTACTGAGGCACCTGGCAGCAGAAAATTTGGGCCAGGGGGAAACACGTAAAACATGGTCTCTCCCACAAAGCTCGCCCTGCAAAAAAAAATAAATAAATCTCAACTCACCACTACAGCTGGCAATAGAGACATCGACACCAACTTCTTTGTATTCCTTTATAATCTACAACAGAGTAAAAGCGAAGTTAAACACAGGTACATCATCGTACACGTCGCAGTTCTGAAAGACGTAAGCCAATTAATGTGAAAGCTGCACAGTCCGCATTCCCCAGCACCCAACTAAAACTTACAGAGCTACAGAATGAAAAACTGGGATTAGGTGAGGTACAGGATTGGTTTTGAGTGGGCATTTATGTCTCATGCTGACGAGTTCCCTATTAGGTATCTCACAAGTTTTCTATGGGTTTTTCTGGAGACAAAAGCCCTACTTACCGATTTCAATGTTTTTGCTCCAACTGAATCCACAAAGTTCACTGGGGTGAAATCCAGAATTAAAGAGTGGATGTTTGTTTCGGGCTCCACAAAATGTTCATGCTCATCAGCAGACATGTCTGGTACACTAGTGTCTGCAGATGCAAATTTTCCATTTACAGGTAACTCATCATTTGCTATCTCATGTTTTACGCTTGCTTCCACGTCGTTAGACTGGGAGAGAATATAAAT